AACTGTACTTAACTGTACTCGACATTGGTCTCGACTGTACTTACAGCCCTTTGATGGTGTAAACGTCCCAAAAAAAACGTGTATGGTGTAATGATGTATGGCATATGGTGCAATGGTAGAAGGTGTATGGTGCTATGGTGTATGGTGTAAGGGGAATGGTGTAATGGTGTAACGTGCGTTCTGGAATGGTGTGAATGAATGGTGTACGACATTTAAAACTATGCAAAATATTGAACTGATTTCTAATTTTAAACATTTATTTACAATATTGTGATCAAAATTCGTTCTTTAAAATAAATAAATAATTTTGTAGTCGCACGCTTTCTTTGAAAATAAATTGCATTATGGTGTAATGTGTAAGATGTATGGTGCAAAGTTGTAACGTGTATGGTGAAATGGTGTATGGTGTTAGTGGGAAGTTTACACCATCCAAGGACTGTAATAAGTCTGATTCAGTACTTGATAATCTTGGTATAGTCTGAAATGGTCTCGACAAATGCTCGACCAGTCTCGTCTCAGTCTCGACCAGTCTTGACCTGTCTCGACCAGTCTCGACCTGTCTCGACCAGTCTTGACCTTTAAATTTAGTTTAGACAGGTCTGAATCAGACCATCTAACTAAATTATTTATTTTTCTTACAAAATTTCAGGTGATTTGGTAACTTGGTTCACTGCTGTCAAATTTAAGGATTTAGTTAACAGGTAAACAAAACGCTAGAATTTTCAGTTCCGGCTAAATTCAGACAGTCACCTCTGATATCTTTTAAAACTTTTCCAAATAAACTTGGATTTTCAGACAAAGCAGTTTGTAGTGATATTTACAAAGCACATATGAAAATATTTATGTGAAACAAAAATTATACAAATAGTAACATATATAACTTTGTATAAATGGGATCTAAATTTCATAATGATTTAAATTGACTCTTTTATGTCACATGTCAACTAATAGTATATGCTATTGAATGTAAATGAAGTTATAACTGTAGTTGTAGAGCTAAATTCATTTAGAAATTTACAAAATAATTTACACATTTCAATCCACAGACCTAACATGATTATCTTGAACTTGTTATATAAAATAAGAATAATGATATTGAACCATGATCAATCAAAGTGAACAATAATTCGATAATCTTTCAATTATGCTTATGTATCAAGAACAATTTCTTACACAAAATTCAACTTTGAAGACGTGTTCGAAAAAGGCAAATTCCAATGGAATGTGTATGAAGCGCTTTTCTACATCAAAATTTACTGAATCAACATGATCAAGGTAAAAACGAAAAAAGAAGGCATTTACTCAATTTTGAATCTTTAGTTTTCATATTTTGTTTCCATTTCCGTTATCCTTTATGGCTTTTGATAATTGATTATTGTAAGCATGCATTCACATTGAATTTTAAAATCATGCTATGTAGAGGTTGGGCCAATTTCACCTGAATGCATTATACACCAGGGCTATTTTTTAAAAATGTCTTCGGATAATTGATTGAAAATCAACTTCACCTATGTACGATAATTTGTAAGAACAGAATGTCTTTTGTCAGCCAATATGACAACAAATAATAAATACTTTAAAATGCCAATAACATTAATTATGGAGGATTTCAGCAATGTTGATAAAGTGGTTTGGCGAAGGAGACCAGGAAAGGCTCAGACATCTGGATCATTTGTATAGAATTTTTGTTTACCTTGTACACGATAGATGGGGAGAAAAATTTGATTTTTTTTTTAAAATCACTCCATAAAAGGGATAAAAATACAAATTCTACGAATACATTCTGTAACTCTTCTCAACGAGAATAAGTTGAAACACCCAGAAGTATTTTGCATCAGGCGCAAGTTGTTTGGAACTTTAAAAGGATGAAGATCGATTTGTTCCATTTATTCATTTTTTTTTCACCACAACTGTTGTCTCGGATGACTCAGTTGCCAAAAGTTTTATTTGGCCACTTTGGCCTACTTTGCGTTTAACAAATTACTAACTTAACATTTGTTAAAACAACCACAATTTGACACATGTTAAATACATGTTTAATTGATTTTACGTTTTCTTTCATTATCCGTCTATCGATCAAGTAATTTGAACAAGATTTCTTTTTTTTTTGTAGCATGTAACATTTGTTCAGTTGTTCTTACATTTTTTAAATTGACTAATACGTTGAAACTATCTTTGTTTTAAGAAGTGATTAAAGGTAACTTTCGTTCAACGCGTTTTTCAATTGAAAACCACGCACTTGTTTTTATAGCATTTTTCGTTGATGAAAAGACGCGTGCCGTTTTAACGAAAAACAGGATTCTTTACAATTATAAAAACAAATGAAAAACAAATGCAATTCTTTCGTGCATCTCCCCCTTCAACGATCTCTCTTAAACATTAACTTCCTTGTGCACTGCTGTGGCATTTGTTTAACAAAAACCACAGGTTGACGTTGAATAAACAATTTTGTTAGATCTCAACACAACTCGGACACAGTTATCAAGCCATCTCTCATTATTGTAAGACGGTAGATAGAATATTGACAGACATATACACGGATAATTATTTCTTAACCTGGTAAGTAAAGCTTTAATACCTTTAAACGCCATTTATTTCGACTTGTTCGTCCACCACGTATCAGTTTAAAGTTTATGTTTATGGTTGTTCATTATAAAATTCTGACTACATACATTCACGAACGCATTTTAATTATTATGTGAACATTTTTAGTATACATTTATCATGTTTATGTCGCATTACGGCTTTGATCTAGGTTTCGAAGTATATGTGATAGTATAAGCAGGGCACGTTGTCCAACGGACTAATTTTTTATTATTTTTTTATTAATTGTGAATATAAATTTCTTATCTGAAATTAATCAAATAACACTCTGAAATAAAATCTACTGTATTCAACTAGTTTTTTGTAAAATCCAATGCTATTCCGAATTATTAAATTTAGTTAATTGGGTTCAAGAATTCCATAAAGTTTTGATTATACTATAAAGTATTAGAACTATAAACAGGAACAAGAGACAGCTTTTACCATTTTGTATTTTTCATGAATATTTTTTTTTAACTATTGGTAACTTTATAAAAACATTTCCAAAGATTTAATAATGACTGAAATTCAAATTATGTTTTGCGATAATATATTGTTTCTGCGAAAAAAGGGCACTTGTATATCACTGCTAAATTTTACATTTTTGTCAATTTCTAGAAAATTGCAATACTATAAATAATTGAACGCAAATATTTTCTAATTTCAATAGTTAATACCATTGGTTCGATATTTGTTTTAACAACACACATTATTTCAGTCATGGGTATGGTCGTCCTGAACAAACATGAAACATTTGCTTCTGGATTTTTAGCAAGCAACACTTAATTAATCGAGTATATATCTACAGGAGTGCCTTCTTTGAATGCTTCAGATAACGGAGACACGATCTAGTTTATTTTGTTTATGTATGGCTGCACAATTGTTAACTGAGAATATACCTTTTGTCTTTCATGCTCTTATGAAGGCCGACGGTAAACATTTTGCTTCCGTTGCAGTGCGGGATGTAAAATTATGTGGACAGTAAGAATAGGGACGTTTAAATTTAATGCAATGCAACAACTGTGCTAAGGGTACGACGTGGCATGTTGAATGGAAAAAACCGACACCTATCAAATGTACCTTAATTCTCAAGGTTAGAAGGGAAAAACGTTTTAGACGCACGGAATATATTAAGTGCTTATTTCATTTACGATTGACAGACAAGCCACAAATTGCAACCCTTTGACCCTGGTCGAAGTGGCTACAATAACATATCGATAGTGATTATTTGTGTCATACTTTCTTATGAATCAGAAACTAGCAATAACATTTACCAATGTAGAGGAGATACCATGGGAAAAAATTACAATTAAACAATTATCCTTTCCCTCAAATAAAGATTTCTAAATTTACCGAAGACATTTAGTCCTAATACAAGTCTCCTTCGTAATTAGTATGTTTAGCAAAATTTAAAAAACTAAAAAGACACTAGTGGACGATATTGACGTCCTCCTTTGTATTACCTCAGTTCGTGATTAATTTTTGCGAAGGCATTGTAATTTTTGCTTCAAATTTGTTTTGGGAGTCTCCGTCGTATCTTTCGCATCAGTGTTTAAAGTGTTCAGAAATTAAAAAAAAAAAGTGAATATTCATTATTCATTGAAATAAGTATTTTTTTTATTTACTTCAGGTATTCCGTTTTGCACTCATAATGAAAGGTATTCTAATAGTAATCATCCTTACAGGTAATATTAATGAATTATATATAAATGAAAACAGAAGTTCACCTAGCTCTAGTTATATATACCTGTTTTGATGACAAAATCCAGAATAAAAATATTATTCTGATATCTGGTACGTATATCTGTATGCGGTTTATTTTCTCTAAAAAAAATCGCAACAATTAAAAATGAACTTCCATATTTACAATCCTTCTAAAATTGCAATGTTAATGTAGGCAATCATTCTTGAATTTTCTATATTGCAAAGTTCAGACAACATTCATACGGAAGTCAATATTAAATATCAAACAATTTGCATTCGTAAATGATGATTTTTTTAATGTGAATTATGAAATGTTCTACTCATAATAAAATGTGTAATGAACGCAAGGTTTATATTAATGAACGTGTTAAAATATTTCAGCTATACTTCCTGACAAGGTAAATACAATTGTGTTGTCCAAAATGAGATTTGATTAAAATTTAAGAATAATATTTGTTTTAATTTATCAATTATAAATCTTAAAATATATTGTTTTTTTGTACTTTTGTATTTATTTATTCATTATTTGATAATTCAAATAATCTATAGATTAATGAAATATGTAAGTTCTGATTGACAGAAAAAATGAAGTTTTGTTGCGATATAGATAATTGATATGGTAAAACTTGTTGTTTTGCTTAGGTTATCTTAGAATACCAACATTGACAATTAAGTAATACGTTCTAACTCATTAAAGTTCAAGGTCCAGTAGAATGGTTATGTCACAGATTTTGGTAAAATTTTACATACAAGTTGTTCATGGTGAAAATTTACTAAAAATCACCGTCTTCGTTTAATTGGTATACATCAATCAATGTGGTCTTATAACATAGGTGGATAAGATACAATATAACGCCAAGACAAACGTTTAGTTTACACATTGGAGGCCGATTAACGTCGATTTGATACGTTTGTCACTATCTATTAGGAAAATATACTGGTGTACGAATCAAACACAAAGTCGATGACCCAATGATAACATGATAGTAATAAAACGGAAATGTATGAACAAATGTATCGACAACATATTATTTTTTATGTAATATCCTTTCAATGAACATTGCAGCTTTGATGATTGTCATACTAATACAATATACATATAAAGAAATGCAATTCAGATCAAAGAATTATCTACCGTTATATAATATTTCTATTTGATGTATACTTCCTGTAAACATTGACTAAAGAAGAGTTTATTCGTAGCTCTGATAAAACTGTACATTTTAAAAAATAAATCGATAAAAATTGTTGGTAAGCTTTCATCAATAAGCCTTTGTATTTTATAAAAAGAAGTGGAACTGAATGATACTTCTTCGGTCAGAATAGTCATTATGTCATGTATAAGAACCTTTTTGAGGGCACAGACCTCGGAAAATGAAGATAAATAAATTAATGCTTTTGAAAATTAAAAATTAAAAAAAAATGTTTACCTTAACATTTAAATGATGAAGCTGCTTTAAACTTAATAGTTATCTGTAATAGTAGTGGCCAAAATATTTTGCTATCACTTCAATTAGTTATTTTTTATAGTTACGAACATGAATTTTTTTCGAGAGCTTACTTTTAAATGATGGAGTATTAGTAATTTGTAAGTAGTATCAATATTTTTTTAATCAAGTAAAGTAAATATGTATCAGTCATATTTTGATTTTAAACATAAGATACATGGTACAGCATAGTTCCGTTTTTTATCTAGATTGTTGTCGGTATAGCTGGAGGGGAGGATGCCGCCATAGAAGATTTCCCGTACGTGGCAAGGATTGAAGCTCGTGACAGAAAAGGTGAACCCTGGGAAGATTGGTGCACTGCAGTAATCCTCTCTGAAACGAGGCTTTTAACTATAGCACGTTGTCTGGAAGATCCGTAAGATTAAAATTACGAAAATGAACATAAATTAATTTGATATACAAAAGTCTACAACATTTATCAAAACAACAGAAACTTGCAATTAAAATGAGAGAAGTCTTTGAGATGAATAGAAAATTGCATTGATGATAACACGGATAAGTAGCGACTAAGTAAGGAACTTTTGTTCAGTATAAATCTTACAAGGCTGAATTTTCCAAAATGTTCTGATCTATCTTTTGTCCAATGTCAACGAAAATTTTACCAATTGTTTCGTTCTTTTTTAAACTTAAGTGAATATGGAGCACAACTGAAAAGTAAACAATAATCAGCAAGACAAGATCTATGAATATTTAGAAATGAATATATTGATAGAAGACCTTTTTAGGAATTATTGAATGATGATTGTCACCAATGTTTTATGTTTTATTTTTCGATTACAGCCCCTTTTCACGATTCGTCAATTTCAGGTGATATGTTAGGCCTTAATATTTTAAAATCCAAATCTAAAAACAGAACTGAAGCAAAAATGACCAATAAAACAACATGCACTTATAAGTCGACTCCGTGTACGATTTATTGCCAACGAATAATTCTTTTCCTTCATTAAGTGTATATTAACGTTAGATAGAGATAAATTAAAGAATTCGGAAAATCAGCAGCCAGGTAAAATAATATTAACAAAGCCAAAATTGTCAGTTTACATTTAATTATTGAAGGACGTGTGTAGACCTATTCGTGTTAATCTGTGTGTCAATTGGTCTCTTGTGAAGTGTTATTTCATTGGCAATCACACCACATCTTCCTTATTCATTGAATATGTTAACTACAGAAAAGGATCAGCAAACGACCAAAAAATGAGCCAGCATGACACTTCCATAAACATCTGAACTTATCAGTAGACTTAAAGTTCGAAATTGGCTCAATTAAAATCAACTACCCTTGTTTTGGAGACAAAACCAACCAAACGAGGGGCGTTTGCTTATGCAGGAATAACATGGTTTTCTTCGTCATTGGCAATCTAAATTGTCTACCCTTCATTCATGCTAGTTTAAGTGAACACATTTTCAAGCAGCAATATCAACGGTGCCAAATTTACTGGACAATTTAGAATTTGATTAAGCATTATTTATGATAGATCGTGGTCGAAAAGTTTATGTGAATGAGAGGGGGGGGGGGGGGGGGGGGGCAGATTAGAAGTCTGTGTAATCTATACAGAGTTGTTGCTTAAATATTAACCTTGTATAGTCTCTTATAAGCTTTGAAAGCTACTTGTGAACTTAAATGACTTTTAAAATGCAACAAGATTGTATAGCATGAGGTCTATTCAATCAATTGAATCTAACTAAGTGAAGTCGAAGTATTAATATAAAAGTGATATACTTTCAGGCTTATCAACAGGCGGGTTCTAGCTGGTTTTTCTGACATATCAGATCCTAATAAACAAATAAGAACGATTAAACACAAGAAAAAGGTAAGAATCTGAAACTGTTTTTATATGTCCCTATAATTATGTGTTCTTCAGGACAAAAGAAAGACATAGACTAAAATATTATATTGAACAGAAATTCCAAACAATCTGGTACATGTTCATTTGTGTAAAAAACTTACTCAGCCTTCAATGTTTACGTTTTTTACTTACAACCAAATAAAACATGATCACAAAGTGTTTTAAACATGATCACAAAGTGATAAAAAAACATATGTTCTATGTCCTTTCTGTTACTTAAACCATTAAAAGACATGGTTCAATCTACAAGAGGCAGTAAACAAATGCACGAGAATAAAAGAATATATTTATATGTAAACTAACTATCATCAAGCACTTTTAACAAAATATCACATTTTGACGTTTTTACTTCAATTAGATCTATCTTTTTAGTCAAAACTTGATTCTAAATATCTTTGATTTACATTTTACATTTGCTTTGCATTATTAAAATGAACAGAGGCGAAGCATAGGACAAATATTATGACGATTGCCAATCTTGATATCAATATTTGTTTTTAATTGTATATCCAAACTCTGGAATTGGAGGGTATATTGAATTCTGCTTGTATTTCGTCCAATAAAAAGTCGCGTCACACTTTGTCTAGGTTGTTGGAAAAAAAAAAGGTCAACAGTTTGGCAGTGATTTTCGAGTGGAGTTGGCTTAGCGATAATACGTGTAATCTTGTTATGCATTTACTAGTTTATTATGATATGTAATGTTGTTTTTTCACTGATTTATGTATAGGTCTAATTTTAGTATTCTTGTGAGATATTTGAAAATGTTCCCCGTCCATCAATTCAAATAAATCACACTTACGTGATTAAAGATAAACTGTAAGTGAAATTAAAATTAATCTAGAATTTAAAATTGATTCTATAAGTCAACTTATTGTGACTTGGATGGAGAGTTGTCTCATTGGCATTCATACCACATCTTCTCATATCTAAATATCGTATTAACATAATTTTAAATATAAATAAACCGTTTGATCAATCTGTTTGTTTTTTAATTTATTACCTTTTTAACAATTATAAAGGGCAATCAACGAGTGATATAATACTATTCACTTTCAAAGTCATATAAATAAATGATGTTTCATTGTTTACATTTCTAGCATCCACATTTCGATAGAAAATTCAAAGATAAAAACGATGATGCATTATGGGAAAATGACATAGCTGTTATTGAACTGCATACACCTCTCACGTTTGGACCGACATGCAAAAGTATACCTTATTCAACAAGCTCAGATTCTGTGAATCTAGACATGTGTCAAATAGCAGGATGGGGAGAAATTGACAGTGATGGTAAGATAAAAAAAAGATACACGAAAAACACTTATGAACCACATCAATAAACGACAACCACTGAAACCAAATAAAACTAAAACTAAACTAACACTATTAAAAGAACTCTAATTTTTTAAATATGATGCGCCCGGAGCATTTTTATACATTATTCGTCATCAGGTACACTTAAACACATGCATACACGTTAACACAGAACTTCAGATAATGCAAAAAGGAAGTTGATTAAAACTGATATAACAAAACACACAGATATATGAACCATCGGTACAAGAAAAAGGGGGTTAAACCTTAATTTACAGATAATTAAGCTTCCTTTTTGTTTTTACATTTTTAAGTAAATGAATTGCAAAACATGAGTAGTTGTATGATAATTTATTCCACAGGAACAGAACCAGAGAACCTCCAATTTGCAAAGGACATTACAATTCTGACCACAGAGGAATGTAGGCAGCTTAATACACCAACTAAATTTGTAGATACTCAGATATGTGTCATTGACGAAAATCGAAAAATACAACCCTGCTTTGTAAGTATATGTATATCTAATGTTCTATAGTATATTGATAATTATAGAAATTCTTATAACAGCAATTTATTAATAGGAAATTGGGCATATTTAAACAATTTTAAATCGCCAAATGAGTAAACCGTCTTGAAACCCTTAAAGGAGCAGTAAAGCTAGCGGTTAATTATTTTTACAGCCTTCCAGTTGTGAACCTTTAAGTATCTATAAAGTAACTTTCAACAAGCGAATGTGGAAGAAGAGTGTAGTCTGCACTATAGAAGGAAGCTATTGAAAAACTGTTTCTTAAGATAAAACTAAATAGACGCCTTAAAACATTGTATGTACGCCATCCTGATTTGGTTTACGTCACAATATACGGACTTTTACAAGGGTATGCCTCTGACACTAAAGGTGCTCCAAAAGAGTTCTGAAATATCAAAATATAGAATAGAAAAGTTATTGCTCATGTTGCTATTTATATTTGATTTCATTGATCTGTTATACATCATACACATGGATATACAAATACAGGTAAAACGATACTGCTGCATTGGTTTACTATATACAATTTTGTATTTAGGGTGACAATGGTGGACCTTTGACATGTAAAACAACAGATGGCACTTCTGTTCTGAGTGGTATTTTTGCATGGCAGTATGCTACCTGTAATGGAAACAGGTCCACAGCATATACCAACATTCCTCTTTACGCTTCTTGGATTAAAAGGCAAACTGGCATAGAAGGATACCCTTTGAATTAGAGAGATACACAGAGACAACGCAGATGATATATAATCTTTAATTAAAGACATTTCAGAGCAAAACACTATCTTATCTATTATTAATAGTATTTAGATTTTCACACGTTTAAGCAATGTTTCATCAATCTAGTTTGAAAACCCTATCGATACATAAATGAGGTTTACAAATGGCTTATTTCCATAAAATGTTTGATTAAGTGTCTATTCCATGGTTTGTAAAACACAATCGGGTAACGTTCATCTAGAATTGAATTTTTGTTCCACGTTCTCTCTTCTATAAGTAACAGATAATAGAGCAGAATTATAAGCAGTTATTTATAATATGATTTTGAAATTATATTGTAAACATTTTTCTGTATGGTAGACGTGTAGAGAATTTGATTTTCGGTATTTCCTGTGTATATAGCAAACAAAAAGACAAGTTCACCGATACGCTCAACTCTTACAAACAAACTGTTTGATTTGAAGCTGCTAAAAGTAAACAGTGCTTGTTCTGCCACTGGTACCCGTTTTGGCAGAACACTTAACATTATAAGAAATACACGAGAAAAGGTTGACGCACTGCAGAAGTTTCAATTACTGGAACAAATAAGTCTGAGATGCTAATAACATAATATTCAACATATCAACATTTATTGCACGATCATGACATCAGTAAAACCTTTGATAAGATAAATTCAACCATTAACAACACTTTGGACTTTGCGTGTTATTCCACAATACTCCAGGGTTGACTGGGAAATTTGATTGTAGTTCCGGGAATCATACCGTGCAAAATAAAACTATTGATAAAGTTGCCATGGACTCCCATTTGGCTATTAGGGATTTATACATACACCACGTCCAGCCAGGATGGGGATTATTTATATGTCGTTCCATGTACTTGTAAAACACTAATGGAAGGATTCAAATTCATAAACGGTTCATATTCAACTGCACCATACACACATTTTGACTGTTAATATCTCTTAAATGATGTTTGAGGCCAATTTGTTGAAAATCCTAAACCTAATACTAACTTTTAATAGCTTATAAAACCAAAATATAACCTACGGTATATCAAGATTTCGACCGGTATGTGACTTTGCTGATATACTAGTATCTTGTATTACTGCTCATTTTTGTTTTAAATACTATTACGATGAGTGTGGAAAACAATAGCTTTTTTTAGTCAAGAGACGAGGGTTTACCAAAAAACATAAGCGCACGATGGACGCCAATTGATAAAATTAGCCCATACTTGCCCGTTAGTCAGCTACATTAATATTGATTGGTCAAGTATATATGAAATAAACTCATCATAGGAAATATTATAACGCACAGTCAATATTATGATATATGGTAAAAAAAAACTAATAGATTTGAAAATATTGTAATGCCTTTTCTTTATATTTGCTTTTATATTTTCTCAAACATTTCTATATTTTATGAGTTATACTTGAATGGTGTTTTTCAATTTAGAGAATTTGATGATTGTTAAACATATTTCTATATATGCTTAAATTGGTTTTTTTTTATCTTAAGGAATGACTATATCAAAAGTAAAAAAAAAGACTGCATTTATCCTGTGTTCCAGTTTTTATGACTAGGAAACTTTGCGCGCTTCAGTATGACTGTAGTGGATGTCACGTTCGGTCACAACAGGGGATCTTTTATCGTAAAATGAAAGTGTTACGCTTCAGATTGATGCAGTCCTAACCTGTACAGCAAGTTAACTTGCTTACCAGTCATTTTGACTGGTCAAAGTTAACCTGTTACCGGATTTAGGACTGCTCTAACCAGTACTTGGATCACAATCAAGTTAACTTTAAAAGGGGACTTGGTCCTATGACTGTTTTACGACTGCCGACAAAGTTAACTTGGATGCAGGTCCGCTGTTATTATGAGTTATCTTCGAAACCTGTCCAGTTTGGTTATTCGACTTGTTTATAGATCTAATATTAATATACAGTAAAATAACAAAAAATGAAAAGCCCAAACACATCAGACGAATAGAACAACTATCATATTCCAGACATGGTACAGGTATTTCCTTATGTAGAAAATGATAGATTAAACCTGGTCATAAAGCTAGATAAACTTCTAACATGTATGACAGTCGCATATAATTAGATATTGACAACATTGAGCGAGTAAAACAAAACAATAAGACATAATTGGTTCAAATGTCAAAAATCGGGGTACAGCAGTCAACATTGTGCTATAACCTTAAATACTGTAAAACAAATATCTATTTCAACCAAGAAAACCAAAAGAGTATAAAGACATCCAATAGACAGAGAAAATAAGCAAAATGGAAAGACAGGAATACAAAAAAAGAAATTGCACAATAATATAAAATGCTGTTAATAGTTTCTCCAATTTACTATATGTATAGTTTGCACAAAAAAATGGTTAAATTCTCTGCAAAAGGGTTGCACCAATTTTTCTGCACCAGGTGCGCATTTCGACAATCAATGTCTCTTTAGTGATGCTTGAGGTCTAAATATTTTAAAATCAAAATCTTATTAAAAACATGGAGAGCTATAAACCAAAAAAGAACAAAAAAAGCATAAGGGAAGTACATTTCTTATTTTAAAATATTTCCAAAATTTTGTAACAGCAAATTTTTATAACACAAAGTCCGTATTTTCCTGCCAGTACCGAAGTACTAGCTACTGGGCTAGTGATACCTTCAGGGATTATCAGTCCACCAGCCGAGGCATCAACCCAGTGGTAGTAATAACATTAATGGTATCATTTTATTTGCACCAGATGCGCATTTCGACAATCAATGTTTCTTCAGTAATGCTTGAGGCCTAAATATTTGAAAATCAAATGCTTATCAAAACATGAAGAGCTATAAGCCAAAAAGGTAAAAAAGTATAGCCAAAGCTAGGCAAGGAATCAGAGCTTTACATGAGGGAGATACATTCCTTTATTCAAAATATTTCCATAATTTGCTTAATGATATTTTTCAAATGGAGGACGCAGTAATAAAAATAAAAACCTGTTCACCAGTAACTTGGATATGCATTATCATGTTCGAACACTTTTTGTGCACGATATTTTGATCTTTAGACGTATCGTTTTGTTTTAATTTCTGGGTGTTAATGATAGAAAGTAGATGACATACCCGCGTAGCTGCAAGCCTTTTTTATCAAAATGTTGTATTTCTCTTCAAGTTTACTTGGGAGTTGGAAGCATATTCGACGAAGACGCAATAGGTGGTCAACAGTAATTAAAATTGTTTCGAATGATAAAATTAATGCTATTCCTATTGAAGTTATTTGTACTTTTCTGTAAGTTTCTTTATATTGATTTTTCATCTTTTCCTATCGTTGATGACATTTTTTCGATGTCATGTCGTTTTGTGAAGTCACTGAAACATGATTTCTACTTCATGACATGTAACATTTGTTCCTATATTTGTTGTTTAAGGAGAATAATTTCTTATTCTAAGAGGTTGTTTAGGGTTACAGTTTTTTCTAATTTACTTACAGTATTGATGTGATTTATCCAGTTGCATAAATGCACACAATTCAAGCAAGAACTTTTTTTTAACCTTGAAATCGTTTTTAAAACTTGAGAACATAATTTGTGTACTTGTGCACCTATCCCTAATCAATCTTTTTTACAACATTAACTTCCTTGTCTTTTACAATGTTGTCACTATATTACACGTAGCAATATATGATTGAAAAGTAGTATGAAAGTTGTTAGAATACAACACAGATAATATAGAAATCCACC